TACTAACATGGCTCACTGCAGCCTCAACCTCCTGGGCTCAAGTGATCCTCCAGCCTCAACCTCCCAAGTAGCTGGGACCACAGGCACATGTCATCACTCCCAGCTAATTTTTAAAATTATGTTATTCATGCTTTTTTAGGATGATTAGAGATTAGGATTCAGGAGCAGCGGAACATAGCTTGGAGAAAATACAATAAGTTCAGAAGAAGATGTGGTAACAAGAAAGCTGTAAGGAGGCTATATGCTGTAGAGATAAATGCCTGAGCTTCGGAATCAAACAAGCCTCTGCTCAAATCCTGGCTTTGCTCCAAGAGCAGAGTTTGACATATGTACGAATTATTAAAGTGCTTAGTACAGTGCCGAGCATATAACAGATTCGTTGACTCTCATTACTTTTTTTAACCCATATGCGGAAGCTTGCCTGGTGTGGAATATACCAATAATTTGAAAACTGTAGCTTAGAGGTAGCTTTGAGATATGGTTAATAATATGCTATCAAAAACTTGTACTTCCTACTTAATAATCTGTTTGCAGGGAATGTTGAAGAAAGAATGCTGAACTCTTGATTAGACAGATTTATAAATTGACTGTCAAAACAGAAGTGCTTTCCAATAAGTGACAAGATCTGTAGCTGGATTTGAGTGTGTGCTACTTGTTCTCTTCCAAGCACATAAAAGGAATTATCTGTGTGTGCTCAGTTATCCCGTTGCCTTGTGAAGAGTCCAAAATTGACACAGCTGTTACTAGAAGTTCTTATCACTTTCTTTTTTCAAGTAAAGAATAATGGAAAGAGTTCTTGACTGCCTGGTGGTATAGGAGAGCTTGGTTCTTGCTCCTTCTAGGCCACTAACTGGCCATTTGTAGAAGGCAAGTTAAATCTCTACAGGCTTTACAGGTCAACTTCTATACTGAATGTTTCCGAAGTTTTTTTTTTTTTTTTTTTTTTTTTTTTTAGCTCTCCCTTTGAATATTCTAATAGACTACAAAAATCACTTCAATGCTGAGAAAAAAAAATCTTGTTAGGAGATATTCAATACAAACAAATTAACAGGTCAGCAAAACATGGTGAAATGAGCATTAGACTAGGACTCACTTATAGCTACCCTGTAAGTTGCAGAATAATATAAATCCTTCATTTGCAGCTGGGGAAACTGAGGTGTAGAAGAGAGAGTGAAAATACTGGTCAGCCCTACTTTCTCCTTAGAGCTTTTCAAGATACAAATGAAATGCCAGATGTGGAAATAACTTACTTTTATGTCACTCAATAGTCTTCACTTTACTACTACTGGGTCTGCAATTTCATGCTATGATTTAAAACCTTCTTCTAGGCATCACAGTTTTTTAAACTTAGCTAAATTTATTTGAACGAATCCAGTCTTTTGTAGATTCTGTTGTAGTCATACCCACATTTATGGCATTTCTCTTGTATGTAAAGATGTGCTTTGTACTCATCTGACATCCTGTCAGTTGTTTTATGACTCCACTTCCAGTTTGCCTGCAGTAAACAAAACTATATCTATTTACAAAGTTTTCATCTGTCCTTATAAACTTGTGCTGATCAAAAATGCTGGTGAAAGCTTTATAGAGACAACTAGTTTATAGTAAGGAAACAAATAAACACTCACAGGAAGTATTTTCCTAAGGACCTAAGTTTTACCTCACCAAGGCAGAACATTAATCAAATTAGCCATTCTGCTCCTAGCTAAGATGAATATTTGTTACTTCAGAGCAAAAAAATAAAAGAAACAAGTAAGCAATAAATAACAGTCTTGGTTTGCCTGTGCATAGGGGAAAATGCCCTTCCAAACCCTATAATGTAGCTGTTTAGCCCTGAGGCAAAAATTTGATTATAATCATCATCTTAATATTCATTAGTAACTGCAAAATTAGGCACTAGTAATTCATCTAGCTACAGCATTTAACACCAGGACCTTAGGAGGCTGTCTTGGTTGCATATTGCTAAAGGATGCAATCCTTTTTGTTTATCAGAAGTGTAGATTCTCACTTCTCCAGTCTCTCCTATATGAAAAGAAACCCAAAAACCCTGAGACTGGTTATAAATAGAATGGACAAAATGACAAGAACCACCTTCCCACTAAATCTTGTCATGTGGTGTTCCTTGTAGATCATCCTTACACCTTCTCTGTTCATTGATTATGACCCAGGTCAAAGAATTTGGCAGGTTCAGCACAGTTCCTTATATCCACAACTAGTATCTCAACCTTTCTCAAATTTCCATTCCAACCTTAGCTCTATTTATGAAACATGTATATTTTGGATAGCAAATTAAAATTCATTTTGTATACTAAACTCAATGCCACCCCCCCTTTAAGATCCACTGTAGCTCTTTCTTCCCTGGTGACCAAGAGGCAAAACCTTGGCTGCTTTTCAGTGGCTGCATGTTTTCCTTATGTATTGTGTCAAGCTTTCTGAAATTCCAAGTAAACTATATTTGCTTTGTTAGCCTTTCCAAAGCATTTTAAATGATTCCAACTCTTTGATTTTCTTTAAATGGGATTAGGAAGCATTTGATTTGATAAAATTAGGTGCTTCATTAGTTTCTTTGGAACTGAAGATAGGCTCAACTGCTTTCAGTGTCAGAGAGTTCTGAAGCTTTAATCTTAATTTGTAATATGAATATGAAAACATGAAAAAAGGAAGTTGTAAAAGTAAGCCAAGGAAGACTGTATTTGCGGAAGGGCTTTTGATTATTTCAGTAATTGCCGAGTTGTTGGGGGGTGGTAGTATAATGACCCCATCACTTATCACTGATTTATAATAAAACTGATTCTGAAATTAGATTTTAGTAGCCAAAACTAAAGGCTACAAACTCATGCTACTGCTACTTGTAGGATTCCTTATTTCTCACAAAGCTATATAAATGCTTGACTAATGGTATACTTCTTAATTGAGCTAGTTTCAATTTTCAGGTTAAGATTACTTAAAATATTACTACATGTTACTGACATTATACAGTTGGATAGTATTTCTTGTTAGTTAAAATGTGGTTAATCTGCAAACCACAAATATAGCTCCTATAATTTCTTGCCTGTAGGTCCTCAAATAATTCAAGGCTTTGTGATAAGGGCCCTGAATCTTAAGGCCAGGTCTACCACTTCAGCCCATGAGTTGAATTAAGCCTTGTATGCCTCTCTAGATGTTGGAAGAAAATAATTCATCCGTGGCTGTGCCGAAATCCATAGCTTCGCATGCTTACTTCCAACTAAAACACATTCATAAAGTATGTGCATGTTGCTAACCTTCTAATTCATCAGTCCCTTTCAGTGGATGTTCTGAAAATAACAAGCATTCACTTTGTCATTTACTGTTCTGTAAAACATAAGGCAGAGGCCAAGGAAAAGGGGCAGACTTGTTTCTTCCAAAATCTCACTTTACTCTGTGTTGCCATTACAGACAGTAAAATATATTTATGTGGCTCAAGTGTGACTTAACTGTGTAAATTATACCGGGTCCTGGAATGGCTTAAAGGCTCTTATGGCCAATTATATTTACTTCTGTTTATATGAATTGGCAAGAAGCTACTGTATTCTGGCTCTTAGCCACCTCTAAGTTCCTTCCATTTACAGTCACTTTTATCAGAGATATAATATTTTTACATCAAAGGTCCCTGGACAGTATTAATAAGGAAAAGGAAGGAATAATAGCCCATTACATTTTATTTTCTCTTGTTCCCAATAACCCTAAGAAAGAGTAGTTATCTCTTTTTGAGTTGGTAGTTTAGAATTTCCAGGAATGCAGTGTTTTGGGAGATGGAAGAACTCATAACTAGTTGCTTTCAAGAGAAATTCTAGATAAAGTATTGCATTCTTCTGCTCATCTGCTTCTGGTACATTCATTTTAATGGCAGGCAAAGTAGAGAACGAGGTAGGATTTGAGCCTTTCTATTTATCATATTTTAAAAGTTAATCCAAAGGTAATTCTTAGAAGATGTTCTAAAAATGAAGTGTGCCAATACTCCAACCCACGCTTTACAAAGGCCAAAATGAGAAATGCCCTAGGCGGAAGACGTGATGTAATGACACATGAGCTGTGTCTGGCCTCAGACAGCTCAAGGTCCATTACAAGCTGTGGAGCTGTGGCTTGAAGAAACAAGACAACTATCTCTAAACCTCGGTTCCTCTAAAATGATACTGTACCTTGCATAGCTGTAGAGAATTCAAATTCCATACCCAATGTATATCAGCCTGTCCATAATTAGTCTCCCTGAGAAGCCTTGCTTTCCTGGCCTAGACAGAATGAAAGAAACTGAGTCTGGATCCTACCCTGTGTATGAATTACAATTTGTGTGCTCTAAGCTGCCTTCCCAGGGCACACCAAGGTAAAGAGCAGGGAACCTAGCTTGACTGTGTATCTTCTGCTGGATTATTTTAAGCACATCATTCACTCCCTTGGTAAAGTGAGGGGATTTACACTAAACCACCTCTAATATCTCTTCTAGTTTCAAAATTCTACATAATCCACGGCAGGGGATGGGGGGATCCAAAAAACCTTGCATAAATCAAAACACCAAAAACCCCACTTTCCTTGGAAAGTTCCTTTACAAGGAACAGATCATCATCCCCGATGTTTCAGGTTCTACAGTTCACAGTTTACAGTACGGCGGAGTGGGCTAAGTCACACTACAGCAGGCTCCACTCCACGTCTAACAGAGGGGGTGGGGGCATTCCTGGAAGACCAGCCAGTGTCAGGCAGCAAGGGTTAAGGGCTGTCCCGGTGGAGAAATGAACCCAGGGTTTCGGGAACATAAACTGGGGGGTGTAGGGGCAAAGCGTCTGCTACATCTCATTAGGGTTAGGACTTCAAAGAGGGTTGGGCCTGCTCTGACAAACTGAGTGTGGGAATCCCAGCCCCGACTTGAAGGAGACACATTCACTGCCACGGAAGGACTCAGAGGGAAAGCGCGGGTGTGTGGGGGCGGGGGAGGCGGAGGAGGGAGGTGGATGCGAGAAAAGGGCCGAGTGGGGCCCCAGGTCACTCACCACGAGCGGGATGGAGCAGATGAGCACCACCACGGAAGTGGCGATGAGTAAGATGACCATCTGGATCTCTGCGCCCGCGATGCGGCGGAAGCTCCGGCGGCGGCGAAAGTCGCTGAGGCGCGGCAAGACTGGAGAGGCGGCGGGGTGGCCCCGGCAGGCAACCGAGGTCACGGCGGCCGCGGCCCCGTGGTGCTGCTCGGTGCCCAGCGAGGTACGGCGCATGAACTGGCGGTGCATGCGGAGCAGCGCCCCGCAGACCAGCACGTTGCAGAGGACGGTGGCGAGAATGAGGAAGGAGCTGAAGCCCGCGTACATGTAGGAGTAGGCGGCGTGCGCCGTCACATTGGTGGTCCAGTCGATGAAGCACCAGGTGTCTGGGTACTGCAGCCGCGAGCTACCGAGGCCCATGTTGGGCAGCGCGCAGAAGAGCACGTTGGACACATAGACTGCAAAGAGCGTGAGGCCAGCCAACCGCTTGTCCACGTAGTGGCTGTAGAAATACGCGTGATTGATGGCCAGGTAGCGCTCGACACTCATGGCGCAGATGATGCTGAGGCCGGACAGGCTGAAGAAGAGCAGAATGAAGGTGCTGTACTCGCACAGCGGCCGGCCGCCGGGCCACTGGCCCTTCATGTACGTGGCGATGGTCACCGGGCTCACCAGCAAAGTGCCCAACAGGTCGGTGACAGCCAGCCCACATACCAGCGTGTAGAAGGTCGTCTCTTTCTGCTCCTTGCGCGACTTGCACAGCACTACGATGGCCACCAGGTTGCCCACCACCCCGAAGATGAACATCACCGCCGGGATGGTCACTGGGCTGTTCAGCCGGTCGGGGCTCAACGAGGCGGACGCATTGACCCCAGGAGTGGACATGATAGTGGCTGGCGATGCGCAGCTTTGGAGGGCAAGGCTGGGTCTGGGGATGGTAGAAGAAAGACAAAGCTACCGTGAGCGGAAATTACCATTTGCAAGGTGTTCGGCCCGCGCCCAAGAAACCGTACACTGTTAAGACAACTCGATCCTACTTTCGAGATTGTAGCCACTTACCAACTGCGGTCACCAAAATCTCCAGGCTCCCGATACGTCCTGCCAGCAGCACACTCTTTCGGACATTAATATTTATAAACTGATCTTCCCATTCCTCTTCCTCCCCCCAACCCAACTCACTCCACAGCCGAGATGAATAAGACCCATCTCAAGGGAAAAGTAGCTTGCTAGTGTTATTCCCGACAGATTCTGAGTCAATAAAATGCTCACTGAAAACAAGTTACAGAAAACAATCTGGAGAGCGCGCTCGTCCCTTCTTGACTGTCTTCGGCGAGCGCCGCATCTCCGCGTTCTTTACCCGTTGACCCCAACGCCATCTCACCTGTAGCGGCAGCAGCGGTGGCAGCCTCTCGAGCCCCCAGGGTCAGCCCTCAGATGTCCTGGACCCGCCTCCAACCTGCCTTCACCTCGTCCCCTTCAGTCTGGAAATTGCCAAACCTTTGGCTTCTCAGAGCCGGTCTCAGTGGCTGCCGACTTTTGGATACTGAGGTCCCAGCTGCCAGCTTAAAAAAACTTGGGAAACAAGAAGGGCAGCGGGATGGGTCGGTGAAGAATGGTGCTGGATTTCTTGTTCGATATTTATTTTTTCCTTCAAAGAAGAGTCCCAGCTTTGCAGTGTCCGCCGGTCTAGTCCGCCGGAGGACAGCGTTCAGGTGTGAGGCCGCACGCGCAGGTGGTGCGGAATCTTGGTCCCCAGCTCTGGCCGCCCTCCGCCCTAGCCACGGGCAGCACGGGCGGCTACCGGAGTTGGTGGCTGCCGCTGAGGCCGCTCTTGGCTACCTGGGGGCGGCTCGGGGTGCACTCTGCCCGAGGCTGTGGCCTGGGGCTGTTCATCTTCCTCTCGGGGTGCCGGACTTGGAGCTCCGCTCTCGGCTTTCCACCTTCTGTACAAACTTTTCTCCTCCTCCAAGTTTCCCTGGCAGAGGCGGAGACAAACCGCGCGCGGCCCGGGCGCCCATTGGCTGGATTGGAAGGAGGCGGAGCGAGTCCTCCCGGGGCACCGCTGGGGTGCGCGGCGAGGGGCGGTGTCCGGGCTGGGGCGGGGCTGGGCTGCGGAGGGGGCGGGCGGCTGCCTTGGTTTTCCCGCCCTAGGAGGTGCGGAGTGGGAGCTCTGAGGAGACCCTGGGAAGCCCCGGTGCTTTCCCCGGCGCCAGCAGCCGCTCCTGAACTCGGCTTCCAGTGGGGCCACCACTGAAACCAGCGACCCTTTTCCCCCTCGCAGCCTGCAGCTCCAAGTGGGCTATTTCTTAAACCTCCTGCCCGCGGGCCTCAACATCTAGGTCCTGGAAGAGAGGGCAAGTGCTTTTGGATTCTACCTAGGATTGGTCAAGAAAGCAGAAGAAATAGAGTGTCCGTGTGCGCTAGCGCTTGCGCCGCCAGGTTAGACTTGGGTGCGCGCAGCGGACGTGGTGGGTGGACGGGTGGGTGGGTACCGGACTTGGGCGGGGAAATAACAAAAAAATCCATCCTGTCACCGTAAAAGGAGTTGGAGTCAGTTGGCAGTGCCCGGGCTGCGGGCTGCGCTTGGTAGGGCACCCCAGGCTGAAAAGAGAGAGAGGAAAAGAGAGAGAGAGAAGAAGGAGAGAGAGAGAAAGAGAGAGAGAGAGAGAGAGTGAGACAGAGACTGCAGCCTCTCCGGGCGCAGGTGGCGAGCCTGCGGCTTTGGAGAGAGGTGGAGCCTTGGTGAGGTTGTGAGGACTGCCTAACTGCGATCTTTTCCTCCATTCTCCCTGTTGGGAACTTCTCCGCCCTGAAAGGGTAGCCTGAGCTTCGTGCCTTGGGCTGTATTATATTCGTTAGACCCCATTCACCATGAATCCTTTGAAAGGCTATTGGAGGGAGAGAAGGGGGTTTGAAAGTCACTGGAGTAAAGGAATTCTCCAAGCATCCCCTCATGATTAATTCTTCGAAAAGCCTGTTTGCGCGGCCCTTAGAATTACGGTTTGACTTCTTGTCTAATGGTGAAGTTTTTCTCTGTAGTCCTACTCTGTTTTCTAAAATCAGAACTAAAAACTTAAAAAATTGAAAAACTTCATGGCATAATTAAAACCCCGTCACCATTTTTTTAAAAGTAAGATTGTATGGTCCTATTGCACAATTTAAATTCCTGGGAAAACCTCTTCCCATCTACAGTGTACAAGCATTTTAACATATTGTGTCTCCTCACAGGGTAAGTAAATAACTGGATTCTTTTATGTGATAAGCAGGTACCTATTTCATAAGTGTTATTTCCCGAATGAACAAACCTCCTAACTGGTTCTTTGGTTAGTTTCAGCAACACATGGGTAATAAGAGAAACTAAGAATTACAGGTCGTAAGATATCCAGAATCATATTTACTTGCATAAGGAACTATATGGATATACTAATATAGAATTACTCTTTTTTTACTATTCCCTCAAGAAGATCAGAAGGAAAAAATATGTATTTGTTAGCCAATATTAAAAAGACTGATGATGATTGGTCATTTTCTTACAACCTTCTTTTAATCAGCACTCTAACCATTTCTGTTGTTTATGCTTCCTTGAACAGTAACCTCTAGGACTGTGTCAGCATAGAAAACAAATCAACATTAGAAAAAAGGAAACTGCGCACTTTTCGCCATTCCTCACTAACCACATTGCTTTGCTGTCACTCAGGTCAGTTACTTGTCAGTAAATATATGGAAGGGACGTTGGGATGTTCCTTATACTCAATTTCTGCTAATACAATTTTTTTCAATTTTCTTTCCATATGAAGCTCCTAAAAGAGAACACAATTGGTTGCTATTTGTCAATTTAAATATGATGAAGAATATATTAAATATAAAAACCGAGATGCTGCTAATTAGTAACTGTTACAGGTATTAGCATGTCATTGACAAACCAGACTTGTTACTAATTAAGCTATTTTTCTTACTAATCCTTTGAATTTTCTTTCTACTGTAGCTTTAGGAAGAAGGAAAACAACTTAGTACTCAATACTAAAAAATTGCAATGAGGTTTATCTGTAGTCTCTTTTGGTGTATGATTCTTAAAAGTTAAATTTAGCTTTTAAAAGTAGAAGTTTAAAGTTTAGATGACAAATTATTTTATTTTCTTAGTTTGAAAAACTGGGACAGTAGAGTTCAAGTTCCCTCATATCTTGCCAGGAATTTGCATTGCAAAAAGAAAGGAAGAATTGCCATAATTATGTGGGCAATTCTTGTCATTTTTTTTCAATGAAAAGATTTTTATTCTAAGCACTTTAAAATTTATCCCTTGCAGTTTCTGCCACAATCCCTACTTCTCTATACTGGAATACCCCAGTTCAGTTCTTTAAAACTGTCATTAAATATTCTCTGAAGGTTTGAGCTATGCCAAGAACTGTCTGATCAGTTTGATCTCTCTGTTCTAGCTAATTATTTGACTACTTTTTTGAGTAAACATATTAAGGTGGGAATCCATTTATAAGCAAACACTGCTTGGGAACTAGTAACCACTTTTACTTTGACAAGGCTGACTTTTCCTTGGATCAAAGGAAATATGGGACAGACAGGACCTGGGCTCAGCCAGCAGAAGTGGGGTGAGAAAGGGGAACATTTCCGGGAGGAAGGCAGCAGGATGAGTCAGATCTGGCCTGGACCCCTTCCTAAGCCACAGCTGGCAGGATCTTAGAGCATTCCTGAAGCACTAATATTCATGTAGCAAAGCCTGTGCAAATTGTGTTTGCTTTCGTCTTTCATGACAGACCATGCAGAGACTCAAAACAGTGTGAAAGGCATCTATCAGGTACAAATAACACAGTACCCTTGGACACATTAGCCCTCCACACATTAGCCCTCCACAGTCTCATCCAGTTGGTTTAGTGGATTACAAACAACGCATTCACCTGACCCTAGATGACTGCCCTCCCTTTTTAGTGGTACATTTCAAATTTGTGGCCTCTTAGTTATTTTCATTTTCTAAGCATGAATTTTATGCTGAGTCCAGTGCCTGGAGTTGACACATGTCAATGCTGTGATTAACTCCCCAATATCTTCATGTGGCAATAAATTACTGCCCGTCACTACCGAGTGATTGCTTCAGGCTGCCCTGACAGCCTGTTCTGACAGTTACACTCCTCAACATTAAGGCTTTCTGCTCTCTTCTTCTTCCCTCTCCCTCTTTTTTCCCTCCAGTTTTACCACACCCCCATGTGGATTGGACCAATGGGCAGAGAAAGGAGGTTATTTATCTGTAGTGGCCCACTTTTGAAGATGTAAGTGGAGAAATAAAGCCTTACTAATTCAGGAGTCTCCACTACAGGAGGAAGGACTGTCTGATTATATTTCAGTTTCTTCTCATACCCAAATTGCTGCATGTTTTAGCAATGTGGAGGATGCACAGAAACTCCCTGGCTTAATCAAAAACAGCAGTGTCACCAGTACCTTGTGTTAGTTTATCACTATCCATAGCACTTTCACACTTGGGTCCACATGCGCTTTTATTAGCAACCCCCTGAATAGGTTAGGTAGGTGTGACAGAGACTGCCCTGTTACACCAAATCTTGTTTCCATTTCCTCTGGAACACTTAGCTGAGTACTATTTCCCAGACTGACTTCCTGTGGTTAGGTGCAGCTCATGTGACTGAATTCTGGCCAATAGAGGTAGAATTGATATATGCCACTTCCAGGCTGGGTCCCTATAAGACCCTGGCACTCTGTGCTTTTTCCTCCTCTGCCAACATGTTGCAGGTCCTGTGTATATGGCAAAGCCACTAGATCGAAGGTGACTGGGCCTCTGAATGCCTGTATGGACCTTATTCCAATCCCAGCAGCCCTCATTGGACAATGAAGTGAATGAGAAATAATCCACTGAGGTTTGAGGGGCTCCTTGTTTCAGCAGTTAGCTTATGCTGACTAATTTAGTATAGTTGACGTCATCTTCCTTCAGTGAGTGAGAATGTGGGCACAGAGATTCTATGTGGCTTGCTCAGAGTCATAAGAATTAGTAAGAATAGCTGAAATTTAGCCAGTGCTCAGCCTATGGGAGACATCATGTTAACTGCAACATGCATATGCTATCTAATTCTCACCACAGACCTACGGGAAGGTACTAGGCAGTCAGATGCCCATTGCACAGATGAGCAAATTTGGTTAACAGATGCTGGGAGTGTTGTCTTTTTTTGTGTGTGGCATGGTCCCACTCTGTCACCCAGGCTGTAGTGCAGTGGGGCGATCTTGGCTTACTGCAACCTCTACCTCTTGGGTTCCAGTGACCCTCAGCCTCCCAAGTAAGCTGGGACTACAGGCAGGTGCCACTAAGCCTGGCTAATTTTTGTATTTTTTTGTAGAGACAGAGTTACCCCATGTTGCTCAGGCTGGTCTCGAACTCCTGGGCTCAGGAGATCCACAAGCCTCCACCTCACAAAGCAAGGGGATTACAGGCATTTACCACCATGCCCAGCCCAGGTGCTGTCAGTTTTGGAAGGCTGCCCAGCATCTGAACTCTTTTCTATTTGTAAGAATCCTTCATTATGTAATTTTATTTAGAGGCAAGACCTAGCCTGCCATGAGAGAAGCTTAATGGGCTGGGTTCTCTCTTTCCATCCCTTGCCAGGGCTTGAGCATATGATCTTTGCTTGGTTTGTCAGATACCACTGTCTAGAAATTTAGTCTTGAAGGAGTGGCACAAAGACACAAAAGCAATTTCAGAAGTCATTCACAGCAACACTATGTCTAGGGCTGGTGTTGTCAACGATCCCACAGTGATAGTGGCTGTTGATTGAGGCATGCTAACTACTTGGTAAGGATGGTGTCACCTTGGCTGAATTTCCTGCTGGAAGCCTTCCTGTTGACTCTTTGTGTAATTGGTTGTCTTTCCAGTAAATTACTTTCTTGCTTATATTAACCATGCTCATTTTCTGTTGCTTGCAAATAATAAGCCTTCC